GAATTTATAATATCACTAAGCATGATATCTAACTATTTTGCTTGCATTTTAATTTGAAATTTTCAAAATAACTCAATGTGATAAAAATTAGTTTCAGTCTAAGTTAAGAAAATGGGTAAAGTGATGAAAGGGAAAAACCTACAACCAAGGTTACTCTACCCAGCAAAGATATCATTCAGATTCGATGGAGAAATTAAAACCTTTACAGACAAGCAAAAGCAAAGAGAATTCAGCACCACCAAACCAGCTTTGCAACAAATGCTAAAGGAACTTTTCTAGGCAGGAAACACAAGAGAGGGAAATGACCTACAAAAACAAACCCAAAACAATTAAGAATATGGTAATAGGAACATAGATATCAATAATTACCTTAAATGTAAATGGATTAAATGCTCCCACCAAAAGACATAGACTGGCTGAATGGATACAAAAACAAGACCCATATATACACTGTCTACAAGAGACCAACTTCAGACCTAGGGATACATACAGACTGAAAGTGAGGGGATGGAAAAAGATATTCCATGCAAATGGAACTCAAAAGAAAGCTGGAGCAGCAATTCTCATATCAGACAAAATAGACTTTTAAATAAACACTATTGCAAGAGACAAAGAAGGACACTACATAATGATCAATAGATCAATCCATAAGTTGTAAATATTTATGCACCCAACATAGCACCTCAATACATAAGGCAAATACTAACAGCCATAAAAGGGGAAATCGACAGTAACACAATCATAGTAGGGGACTTTAACACCCCACTTTCACCAATGGACAGATCAACCAAAATGAAAATAAATAAGGAAACACAAGCTTTAAACGACACATTAAACAAGATGGACTAAATTGATATTTCTAAGACATTCCATCCAAAAACAACAGAATACGCTTTCTTCACAAGTGCTCATGGAACACTCTCCAGGATAGATCATATCTTGGGTCACAAATCAAGCCTTGGTAAATTTAAGAAAATTGAAATCGTATCAAGTATCTTTTCTGACCAGAATGCTATGAGACTAGATATCAATTACAGGAAAAAAGCTGAAAAAATACAAACACATGAAGGCTAAACGTTACACTACAAAAAGTTAATTAAGAGATCACTGAAGAAATCAAAGAGGAAATCAAAAAATACCTAGAAACAGATGACAATGAAAACACCATGACCCAAAACCTATGGGATGCAGGAAAAGCAGCTCTAAGAGGGAAGTTTATAGCAATACAATCCTACCCCGAGAAACAAGAAAAATCTCAAATAAGCAACCTAACCTTACACTGAAAGCAATTAGAGAAAGAAGAGCAAAACCCCCCATAGTTAGCAGAAGGAAAGAAATCATAAATATCAGATCAGAAATAAATGGAAAAGAAATGAAGGAAACAATAGCAAAGATCAATAAAACTAAAAGCTAGTTTTTTGAGAAGATAAAAAAAATTGATAAACCATTACCTAGACTCGTCAAGGAAAAAAGGGAGAAGACACAAGTCAACAGAATTAGAAATGAAAAAGGAGAAGTAACAACTGACATTGCAGAAATACAAAAGATCATAAGAGATTACTACAAGCAACTATATGCCAGTAAAATGGACAACCTGGAAGAAATGGACAAATTCTTAGAAAAGCACAACGTTTTGAGACTGAACCAGGAAGAAATAGAAAATATAAACAGACAAATCACAAGCACTGAAATTGAAACTATGATTAAAAATCTTCCAACAAACAAAAGCCCAGAACCAGATGGATTCACAGGCAAATTCTATCAAACATTTAGAGAAGAGCTAACACCTATCCTTTTTCAAACTCTTCCAAAATATAGCAGAGGGAGGAACACTCTCAAACTCATCCTACAAGGCCACCATCACCTTGATACCAAAACCAGACAAAGATGTTACAAAGAAAGAAAACTAAGGGCCAATATCACTGATGAACATAGATGCAAAAATCCTCAACAAAATACTAGCAAAGAGAATCCAGCAGCACATTAAAAGGATCATACATCATGATCAAGTGGGCTTTAGCCAGTGAATGCAAGAATTCTTCAATACATGCAAATCAATCAGTGTGATACACCATATTAACAAACTGAAGGAGAAAAACCATATGATCATCTCAATAGATGCAGAGAAAGCTTTCAACAAAATTCAACACCGATTTATGATAAAAACCCTCCAGAAAGTAGGCATAGAGGGAAATTACCTCAACATAATAAAGGCCATATGTGACAAACCCACAGCCAACATTATTCTCAATGGTGAAAAAAGGAAACCATTTCATCTAAGATCAGGAACAAGACAGGGTTGCCCACTTTCACCACTATTATTCAACATAGTTTTGGAAGTTTTAGCCATAGTAATCAGAGAAGAAAAAGAAATAAAAGGAATCCAAATCAGAAAAGAAGAAGTAAAACTGTCACTGATTGCAGATGACATGATACTATACATAAAGAATCCTAAAGATGCTAGCAGAGAACTAATAGAGCTAATCAATGAATTTGGTAAAGTAGCAGGATACAAAAGTAATGCACAGAAATCTCTTGCATTCCTATACATTAATGATGAAAATTCTGAACGAGAAATTAAGGAAACCCTCCCATTTACCATTGCAACAAAAAGAATAAATACCTAGGAATAAACTTACCTAAGGAGACAAAAGACCTGTATACAGAAAACTATAAGAAACTGATGAAAGAAATTAAAGATGATACAAAGAGATGGAGAGGTGTACCATGTTCTTGGATTGGAAGAATCAACATTGCGAAAATGACTATACTACCCAAAGCAATCTATAGATTTAATGCAATGCCTATCAAAATACCAATGGCATTTTTCACAGAACTAGAACAAAAAATTTCACAATTTGTATGGAAACACAAAAGACCCAGAATTGCCAAATAAATCTTGAGAAAGAAAAATGGAGCTGGAGGAGTCAGGATCCCTGACTTCAGACTATACTACAAAGCTACAGTAATCGAGACAGTATGGTACTGGCACAAAAACAGAAATATAGATCAATGGAACAGGATAGAAAGTCCAGAGATAAATCCATGCACATATGGTCATGTTATCTTTGATAAAGGAGGCAAGAATATATAACGGAGAAAAGACAACATCTTCAATAAGTGATGCTGGGAAAACTGGACAGCTACATGTAAAAGAATGAAATTAGAACACTTCCTAACACCACACACAAAAATAAACTCAGAATGGATTAAAGGCCTAAATGTAAGGCCAGACACTACCAAACTCTTAGAGGATAACACAGGCAGAACACTCTATGGCATAAATCACAACAAGATTCTTTATGACCCACCTCCTAGAGAAATGGAAATAAAAACAAAAATAAACAAATGGGACCTAATGAAACTTAAAAGCTCTTGCACAGCAAAGGAAACCATAAACAAGACGAAAAGACAACCCTCAGAATGGGAGAAAATATTTGCAAATGAAGCAACTGACAAAGGATTAACCTCCAAAATATACAAGCAGCTCATGCAGCTCGATATCAAAAAAACAAACAACGCAAACCAAAAATGGGCAGAAGACCTAAACAGACATTCCTCTAAAGAAGATATACAGATTGCCAACAAACACATGAAAGGATGCTCAACATCACTAATCATCAGAGAAATGCAAATCAAAACTACAATGAGGTATCAGCTCACACTGGTCAGAATGGCCATCATCAAAAAATGTACAAACAATAAATGCTGGAGAGGGTGTGGAGAAAAGGGAACCCTCTTGCACTGTTGGTGAGAATGTAAATTGATACAGCCACTATGGAGGACAGTATGGATGTTCCTTAAAAAACTAAAAGTAGAACTACCATACAACCCAGCAATCCCACTACTGGGCATTTACCCTGAGAAAACATTAATTCAAAAAGAGTCATGTACCACAATGTTCACTGCAGCACTATTTACAATAGCCATAACATGGAAGCAATCTAGGTGTCCATCAACAGATGAATGGACAAAGAAGATGTGGCACAAATATACAATGGAATATTACTCAGACATAAAAAGAAACGAAATTGAGTTATTTGTAGTGAGGTGGATGAACCTAGTGTCTGTCATACAGAGTGAAGTTAAGTCAGAAAGAGAAAAACAAGTACAGCATGCTGACACATATATATGGAATCAAAAAAAAATAAAAATGCTTCCTATGAACCTAGGAGCAGGACAGGAATAAAGACACAGGCATAGAGAATAGACTTGAGGACCCAGGGAGGGGAAGGGGTAAGCTGGGATGAAGTAAGAGTGTGGTATTAATATATATACACTATCAAATGTAAAATAGATAGCTAGTGGGAAGCAGCTACATAGCACAGGGAGATCAGCTCTGTGCTTTGTGACTACCTAGAGGGGTGGGATAGGGAGGGTGCGAGGGAGATGCAAGAGGGAGGGGGTTTGGAGATATATGTGTACGTATAGCTGATTCACTTTGTTATACAGCATAAACCAACACAACATTGTAAAGCAATTATAGTCCAATAAAGATGTTAAAAAAAAGAAGAAAATGGTAATGTCAATCTCAGTGTCCAATCTCATGCCTCCTTAAGTCTAAAATGCGTGGTGTTGATTTGGATATCCTGTTATGTATATGAACGCTCCTCTATTCTGCTCACCACTCCACCACCATCTGTTCCCCACCATCTGTCTCATCCATTATCAGAAGTCTTCCTTAGGATTTAAGATTCACTCTCCTGAAGATCTGGATATCTCACTGATTTGGAGGCTGAAGAATCCAAACCAGATTATGAACCTGTTGCTAAGTCATCTCTCAACAAATAAACCCTACTCTAGGGTTTTCTATATGAGGACCAGACCACAGCAACTGGATTGCTGGAAGATCCTCTGAATGGACTTGTGTCCTAATGAACCAGGCTATTTCTGATTAACTACAGAGCCTATAAGATACATTTAACATTCAGACATTTCAGGATGAAAGGATCACATATACTCCCCAGCCACCATCAAGAATTGGCTCCCATACCAAAAACTCCACTTAAGACCCACTCAAAGTTTATTGTATTCAGAAAAATCACAATTGCAGTCAGAAGAAACTCCAAATAATAAGTTTACAAGAGAAAGCCCATAGAACATTCAAAAGGTTCCATAGCAGAGAAAGGATCCTATGGGCTCTATTCCAAAGGCATTACATGGTGATAATAAAAAGACAGTGGAAAACGGAGGGAAAGCCAATACAAGAAGGAGCAATAGACAGGGAATAACTAGACATTAGAATTTGGAGATTGTAGAAGGCGTCTTTACTCTTAGAGTAGCTAAAGGGTTGGGAAGTGCTGAAGGATGGTTGCTGTCACTGAGGTGAAAAATCGGAGTACTGCCGGGTTTGTAAAGCTATTAAAGCAGAAATATCTTCACCGATCTTCTCTTTAACAAAGTCCATTACCTGTAACAGGACACACACAGTTACAATAGAGTTTAAGATGAATATTTTGAGCTCTCACCTTCAGATTCCTTCCTCTTCACCTTTAATCCTTTGACTTTGGAACAATCTCTTAGTATTTGTGTGACCTCTTGTAAATACAACCTTTCAAACTTTCCAAGTAAGGATCAATAAGCAGACCATGCTTTACTTTCTCTTAGACCTTCTGACACTATTTTTCAGAATGAAGGGGCAAAAACAGGCTTTGGCCTCTAAGAGATTTCCACTTCATACAATGAATCTACCCTAAACCCCAAAGAGTGAAGCTCTGGAAATGCTTCAAAACAGATATCCTGCTCAGGAAATATAAGCCAGGAAGAGTCTTAATCTTGAAGTTGACTCTCCCAGATCACAGGACTCAGTATTCTAATGTGAAACAATTATTTTAGGCACTGGAGATAAGTTCTAAGACAGGAGGTGTGGTTTTAGGGACACATGTATGGAAAGGGACATAGGACTGTGAGGCTTTGGAATATCAGATGACGGCAATGTCTGATTTTGTCCAGCAAAGATAAATCAAGGGCCATGACTTTTGCACTTGTTTTCCCTTAAAGGCATCACATGTCCTTTCCCTCACTCTGTTTCCTTCCTCTGGATCATTCCATATATGTCTTCCTCTGACCACATCAAACCCACCTGCAGGTGCCTCACAGAGGCCCTCGGTGTTCAACAGTGTTGCCTTTGCGCACACCCTTGATGATGAAGATGGTCCCAACAATGATGCCCACCAGAGCCACAACCAGGCCCAGGGCACACACCGTGTTCTCTGTGGTCTCTGTGAGGGGGGTTGGAGCTTCATACTCTGGGGAAAAATAAATCAGAGTACAGAAGTAATGCATGTGGTAGGGAGCAGCACTTAGGACCAAATATAGGGTACTTAGTCAAAAGAATATCTTTTCATCAACTAAATAAGAGGAAGACAGGATGACGTATTAAGGGAATTACAGATTACAAGTGGGGAAAGCTGAGCAATGGGAAACCAGGAACAGGAATTGGAGCAGTTGTCATGAAACAGTTAGGGGACTTGTGGCCCCAAAGGGCCAGACACATGCATCACAGGAGAAAACCATAAAATACAGGAGATTTAAGGATGGTTCTTACCCCAGTGCTTGAGAAGAGGCTCCTCCAAACCCCAGTGCTCCACCTTGCAGTCATAGACATCCTCGGCTGAGGGCACGAAGGGGAGGTAGTGAAACTTGCGGAAAAGGTGGTCATTCCTGGGCAGGAAGACCGTCTCTGACACTCCTGTGGTGACAGGTTTGCCATTTTGAAGCCACGTGACATTGATCACTGGTGGAGAAAACTTGTTGATGAAACAGATGAGGATGTTGGGTTCTCCCAGTTCCACAGGGGTGTTTGAGAGCACAGTCACTTCTGGAGGTACTGGGGGACAGGTGACAGAAATTAGCCTTCCCTGCTTAACCCTGCCCTTCTCCCTCCCACCAAGGCTGAAAAAGCAATTGAAATTGTGCCCTGAGAATCTGTGTCATGGTCTCAGATACCCAGCTCTGATACCCTCCCCCGTGAACGGGAACAAACATTGAGGTGTAAGATACGCAAGGACCTCATTCCTGGCTCCCCCAGCATGGATTCAGGGCAATGACTTTATGAGAGACTGTAGATGCTAGAGACGAGATGTGAGCACGTCGAGAAAGGAACAAACTCATAAAGTTCTTGGGCTGGTGGCATGAGAATTTGGAACTTGCATATGGCAAGAACAGGTCCCTGGGAGGGAAAGGCAGTCACAGTAACATAACACAAAGAGCTGAAGTATCTATTTAAAGCTACAATTCCCAAGCCTAGGAGTGCAGCAGAGAGAGGTACCATTGGTGTTTGGGGTGTGGTTGGAGCGCTTTATCATGATGTCCAGGTTGGCTTTTCCCACAGCCATATTGGCCAATGCACCCTGAGCCTGAAAGCTGGCAAAATTTCCAAATTCTTTAAGCCGCCACACTGTCTCCTTCTTTTCCATATCCACGTGGAAAATCTCATCACCATCAAAGTCAAACATAAACTCGTTTGATTGATCAGGGGACAGAGAGAACTCGGCCTGGATGATCACGTGATCCTCTGAAAAGACAAGAAAGGGAATTAGGGTGGGAACCAGGAGAGAGAGTTGAAGAAGAACCCAGGATGTGAGACACACACATGTGGGCAGGAGTAGTGGAAAGAGAAGGGCAAGTGGAAAGGAGGAGTGATGGAGAGTAGGGATGAGTGGGAAGATGAGGCCTGGGTGAAGGACATTCGTGTTCAACAGAGCTGGGAGTGGACAAGCAAAGGTTCAATGCAGAGAGTGTGGATTGAGGAAATGAGGGCTGAAAAACTAGAGTCTCGTGAAGCTTTTGTTTGACTCTATGTTACTGCCTGAGAAATGATTCCCTCTTTAGAATTTCAGCAGTAGCCCCTAAAAGAGAAATGTTCTCTCACTCTCTTGACCTAGGAATTAAATAATTTAAGCCAGAATCCCAGGGCATGTCTCAGAGCACCATAACTCTAAGAAGAGAGAAACAGTGTTTAAAAGGTTGGGTTTGAACTCTGGAATCAAATTAAATCTCGAATTCTCATTCAGCTACCTAGTGATCTTGAGTAGATTACTTTATCTATTTATATGTAGTTTTCCCATTATATTCTACTGTGGTTTTGCTTCCATGTTGGGTTTGTTTTTAAGATGAAATGAGACTAGTTTTAAGTAATTTCTTAGTATATCATCGGGATTACAACAAGTACTTTAGCATCAGAAACTGCTTTATGTTTAAGGGCCAGACCCATGGACTGTATGACTGGAGATTGTGGTACCCAAATAATTAAGTTTGAGACCTTGTAGCATTGTAGAGCACTCGCTTTCCTGTATCCACACCCACACCCTGCATCCCTCTGAGGGAAGTACTATATTTGGATTGACCTCACCAACATTCCCTTGCACCTTAAAGATCTTTAGATTGAGACTGTCATTAAGGGACATATTCTATTATGGTTGATAGTGAGAATAATCTACACCAAGGGAATAATGGACTTGAAATAAGAAAAGCTACAACTGAAGAGTATGCTGCCTCTGTGGTGCATGTAAATGAGCGGTGGGTTTTAAAATCTGACTGTATATTGATAAACCTAGGGATTTATTTAGCATTTGCAGCCACACACACACACACACACTCTCTCACACACACACACACACACACACACACACACACACACACACACACATTCTAACTTCCTCTTTTAGCTCCAAGGGAAGCTATCTTTCCTGGAAGGCATCCTTGTATGTGGCTCTTTCTGAGCAATAGAAACATACACTGTCATCATGGGTCTTGGAGCTAGGTTATTACTTTACTTATTTCCAGTCTACCTGCCACCTTCTTTGGGGGTCACTTGGGGCGAAGAATGTTTTTTCACAATACACCTTCACAACGGCACAATATTTGCTCTGGAGATGGTAGAGTACTATCAGACACTTCACTTCCTTACTCATTTTTCTACTCTCTTAAGAATATTACTAAGTTACAGCGACCAAAGATCCTTTTAAGATCCACTGTAACTGGGGTTATCACCGTCCCAAGAGACAGTAAATTAAATGCAATTCATATCAGCATGGCTGCCCTTCCCCCTCCCTTGGGTGAATGGTTGCTTTTTGGTGATATCCCTTTCTAGTGATCTTTAGTATAATGTCTGTGCTCCAAATAGGCTGACAGAATTGACAGGCCAAAAGATAGCTACCGTGACAAAAATAGTTAAGAACAGGTACCAAGAAATCTCATATTATTTTCTGATTTAATCCTCATGAAATTACATGAGGTTTTTAATTTTTACTAATTTTCCAGGAATGAAAAGTTAAAGAGCAGAAAGGTATCTTGTTAATGCCTGTCAGAAAATATTTCCCTGAAAGTTTGGCTTATATCAAAGTCAATAGTATTAATCAGTATACAATTCAGTTTTGCTTCTCTAATCTAAATTTTACTTCAATTGCTGGTGAGCAGAGAACTCTTCTAACTACAATTTATTATAACGTTAGAGTTAGACCCAGAAAATACCTGTCACTCTTCTTTTTCACTCCAAAGATTGTCTTTCGAATGTCCACAATTCACTTATCCGATGCTCTCAGAACTTATTTATCCCTACTTTTGATTCTTTCAGCACTTACCTGTGATAGCCCATGATTCCTGAAGGCTTATCAGTACAGTGATGAAAAATCCTGGTATTGGGACTCCAATTATGGCCATTTTCTTTTTAGGTGTCTCGATGAGGGTCAGTAGAGCTCAAGGTGGGTCACAACAGACTGGAATACAAGTAAAGAGAATGTAGGGTGTCAGAGTCTGACTGATTAAAATTTAAAATCAGTTGAGCTGCAGCCAATCAGAAAAATCATTTGATATGACACTGCTGTTGCTAGGGAATGGACTTTTGCAAAGGGTCCAGGAAAGGTGATGCTCTGTTCATTAGATGAAAAGGAAGTTCTTAATCAATCAAACAAGCTCACAACCAAACAAAAAGAAAAAAATCGAGTTTTCAAGAATGATGGGCAATCACTCAGAGACTCTTCCATCCCAATCCAAGTGCCAGAAATGGATCTGCTTGAAGCACATTAGTGAGAATAGAATCAATGGAAATATCCTAAGATAAGAGTTAGTGGCAGATCATGTCTCTGTGCTGTGACAGCTGAGGAATTTATTTAAGGGACAGTAGTTCATCTAAAAAGAAGGTAAATGGTCAGGCTATGAGGAATGCCTGAATCTTGGCAGTGTTGGGTGACAGAGCTGCCCTTAAGGCACCTCTTACTACCTCAGGCTCCCTCCAGTGTCCTAGACTCCAAGGTGGCCAACTCTGCCCAAGAGTTTGGGATCCCTGACAGTTCAGGAGAACATCAGGAGAGAAACTCTGAGTTCCAACACTCCCAGAACTGGAGATGTATGGAAAGCTACACGTTGGAACGTAGGTAGTGGTTACTGGAGATAGTAGACCAGAAAGGGGGAAACCTATTCCTAATTCCCATTACCTTAAATATGTCCTGAGATTGGAAAAGACTTTTGGTCACATACCTTCCCTGAAGAATCAGATAGATGAATAAAGAGAGTAAATGGGGCAGAGCTTATTTTACCTGGAAGACTAGAGATAACAACCTGTAGGAGGGCTTTACAATTACTTCCTCATGATGAAAGTTCTGATTCAAAGAATTTATCTTGATGTTCACTGTTGAGAATACTGAAAGTTAGTACATGTTGACTGACCCTCATTGTTTGAAAATATAGCAAAACAGAAAGTGTTAAACCAACCCTAGAAAGGGCTGGAATCCAAATACTTCCAAGGAGGAGAGACCTGGCAGTGCGGCGGCTCATGAGATGGTGAGTTTACTCTTGAAGATCAGTCATGACACATATACTTAGGGTGGGTTTTCCACAGTGTTTTCTACACTGCTGAGGTCTCATCCTGCCCTACTACTCCCCTCCCAGTTCAGAAGAGCTAAGACTCTACACATGGCTGATTTTTGGATTGTATCTAAGGGCTTCTTTTTTTTTTGCGGTATGCTGGCCTCTCACTGTTGTGGCCTCTCACTGTTTTGGCCTCTCCTGTTGTGGAGCACAGGCTCCGGACGCGCAGGCTCAGCAACCATGGCTCAGGGGCCCAGCCGCTCCACGGCATGTGGGATCTTCCTGGACCAGGGCACAAACCCGTGTCCCCTGCAACAGCAAGCAGACTCTCAACCACTGCGCCACCAGGGAAGCCGGTATCTAAGGGCTTTGAACATCCTCTGATACTGACTTCTGGATGCCTGGGAGGACGCACACACAGTTCTGCCCTAAAATTGTTGAGGACTGTGTTTCCTGGAGGCACTGGAATGGGCCAGAGGAGACTTTTACAGTATCAGTCTCTGCTGAGAGTCTGATCCTATAATTTAGGTTTGTCATCTCCTCTATCCTAACCTCCTCTAATCACACCTAACCAATATAATTTTTCTGTGCTTGCCCTTTGCTGGCTGCCATAATGCCTTTTTCTTACAAGATGCTCAATATATGTACAGTAAACTCAGAGACTATATATGTCTCTGTGTTCTACATGTTGTAATAGCACCTTCAACCCAAGATGTTGCTCAGCAACTTATGATGTCGTTTAGTCCTAAAACACTGATTGGTTCTCCTCATGAGATTACTAAACTGGGGAGTCTTTAGAATAGACTTTGAGTTCCCTTTCTCTGTGATGAGAAAGAAGTTTCTATCTGGACATTAATCATGGTTCCCTGTTTCCTCCTGACCTCTAACTTCCTGTGTGTTTGAGGGAATTTCTGAGGGCACCTGAATGAGGTTGTCTCGGTAACGTTAAAAGGCACGGAGCCTCTGTACTAGTCAGAGTTCATTCAGGAAGTAGAAATCCCTGAGGACACCCTAAATGGGATTATTTATTACAATTCTACTCTATTATAGGGAATTATACAGCAAAACTTTTGGAAGCCTGGAGGAGCACAAGTCAGTACAGACCCCTAACTTTGAGAGGGAGGGACCTGTAGGAGCCACTGCTGACATCATGGCTCCTTTAGAGCTCAGGGGGAAGGAATGTCTTGGGAACACAAGGATGCTGCCAACACAAGACCCCTGTCTGTGAACCCTTGTATCCACAACCTGAGAAACCTTCAGCCTGTCTCTGCTTCCCGAATCTCACACTCCTAAGTTTCACTGGCAGAATGTAGACCACATTCAGAAACCGGGGGTAGGGAGAGCCTGGGAAATGTAATATTCTTGGTTTTATTCCCTGCTATACAGACAAGACCATAGAAGCAAATAGGAATTTTTAAAAAAACTACTAAATGCAAATATATCTCTCCACCTCTATCTCTGTATCTCTATTTCTCCCATAGTTCACTCGAGTTCTCCCCACAATCCAAACTTAGAACCAGAGAAAATGTTATTTTGGAGTAAAAGGCGAGGGCTTGGAAATGAGATCGCTTTCTCCTTGGACCCAGGTCAAGTCTGGGACCTCGCTGCTTCATGTTTGTGTGGTTTGAGCTCTGAGAGCCTCCAGCCCCTTCCTTATCTGCCTTTCCCTCCTTTTCCCTCTAGCACTCAGTCTTCATGGTATTTATCCTCCTGAAGACTTCCTACCAGAGGATCTTTGAGGATATTGATCTAGGCATTTCCTCCCCAAGTCCCCATGTAAAAAACTCTCCTTGTTCTCTATCATGTCTCCTCTCCATGCTGAGAGGGGGCAAAGGTTAATCTGCTGAAATAAACCTGTGTCAGACTGAAAACTGCCAACTGATGACATCAACAAATGTGCTGGGATGATGCGTTAATGGACCTTCCTAAGATGTCCTGTGTGAATAAAGGGGTCCATGGTGTTTGGGCTCATCTCTACCCTGGGAGGATGAGAGTTTGATTCATTTTTTTCTTTACCTCCACTTGGAATCTGATGTTTCAAAGGCCTGAGTTTGTACAGGCTCTCAGGGGTGCGAAATCACTTTTCTTTGTGTAGCTTTTGTAAATAAGGAATTGCAGACACACACACACACACACACACACACACACACACGGGGAGAGGGGTTGGAAACTTCAAATCCACATCTCAGAATATTTCCACAGGCCCCATTGTTATGATTTGAGCATCTAGAGTCAGATTGTTCTATAATTCCCAATTTTCTTGTCTCTTCTAATAGGCTGAACTTGGTAGTTGAGAGACTGTGAAGGAAAAGTTTCATTCGAAAAATCACCAGTGAAGCCTGAGAGTGGCTGCCTTCACCAGCTGCCTCCTTGTGCCTGGACAATGGCTGATTCACTCCTTCAACTTTATGTTCCTTCCACGTTTTGGCAAATTATTTTCAGAGCCATTTCCAGCTCCATCTATCATCTTTGAACGTGAGGAATGAATCCCTAGGACTGCTTACTGGCTGGATTAGGATAAGGAAGGTGGTAGAAAATGATCAAAAAGTACCTTGTAGTTAGGTTTCAAGTCTGAATGTTATGATAAATGAAAGAAATTTTCAAAAAATAGAGGTCATGATGAGAAGGTGGCTCTCGTTCGCATTGACATAGCACGGGTCAAGCGTACAGTGTAAGAGGGAAGTTTGTTAGGTGATCACAGTAGAACACGGGAGAACATGAGTGGATGAATGTCACCTAACACACAGGGCATTTCAAAACTTAGGATAATACACGAGAAATGACCAATGCCGTAAAATGCTTTAGCAAAATCAATGTTTTTATCTAACTATGATGAGAGAGAATTACCTATTTTTGATATAAGGTTACTTTTGAACTTTGAAGTTCTATGGTAGAAAGAAAGGTGAGAAATCAGCCAGAGAACTGTCATTGGTTTTACTGAAAGTCTTTTTTTTTGGTGAGGTCTTTCTCCCTTACCAATTAAAATATTACTAATAAAATAGTAAATATCATATTAAATATTACCATTATATTTTCTACCATTATATTTCAAATTTATTCTGAGGAAACCAAGATTTACAGAAGTCTAGCCCTTTGGTCAATGTCTCACTTAGAAAGTGGGAAGGTAGTTTTGTAAATCACATCTCTAACTCTATAGCCAGTAATATGTGGAGTCCAAGAACGAGTCCATTCAAAACACTAAAACCACTCCCATCACAAATGCAGCCTCAGGTGGGGATGACAGTTATTTTGTCTTGTACACTGTGTTTATTGGTGAATATTTTAAAGGTTCTTAGTAAACATGGTTTTCCTTTGAGGTTTTTTTTTTTTTTTTTTTTTTTCCTAAACACAGTAAAAGCAGGACTAGGCTTCCCTCTTGTGGTCAATAGTATTTAATTCTTCATATCAGTTTTCTTGACATTGAGCGTTCAGAAAGCTAGTGAATGATCCAAGATTTTAAAAGTCAGGTTGCTTTAACTAATTTTTTCCTCGTGTACATACTCAGAAATTCCCAGATGTGTTTGATCTAATTAGGTTGCTTAAATGGTTTGCAATTTGAAAACCTTTAAAATCTTTTTACACTAAGCATCACAATGCTTTATTTTTTTGGATAAGCACACAAACAAAACATGGAATGTGTTTCTTTTAAGTAATTTGAAAAATAAAATGATGCTTGATAAAGAAAACAAGTAACTGTAAATCACTTTCATTCTTGCGGGTAAAAGTTTAATACCCTTCCTATTTCTCCAGGACAAATTTAATCTTAGACTAAATCTCTAGCTCTTTTTAGGAAACCTAAGAAAGGAAGAATGTCAGCTAACTTTCTAGACAAAATTATCTATTGTAAAAATGGCTTTTGCTTGGTAAGTTGTATTTGGCTAGGAGGAATATCTGATGAATTATAACAAGTGTGGGAACCCATACATAGCTTGGGCATCTCTGAATGCAGTGACCTTTGTAC